TGCTGTCACAACATCGACTGTTGAGATTTGAGAATGAAATAGCAGCCCTCGTGGTGGCCTTCGGGGAAAAGAAGAACACATCTGGTAGCCAGCTCATGAACCGGCGGTTCAAGCGCTCTGGAAGCAGACAGACACTCTTAGCATTAACTGCTCATAGATTTCATATCACCATTACGTGAAGTTTCTGAGCATGTTTAAGATGGGCTTAGATCATCTGCTGGCACACACTGGAAGCTCATTGATTTCTTACATTAACCTTTAAATAGAAAAGCTTTTTATTTGATCGGCATGACTTACGGCTGGTTTACCTGTGCAGGTCTTGCTGCCGTGGATGACAATCAAAGAGTACACACCACCAGAACAGGCAAGTGAGATGAGGCACTTGTAGTGCTGCCTGCCCAAGTGCTCTGGAGCTGTGTAACTGCATCTGGGGCGGAGGGGCTTTAGGTACTTTTAACTAATTGACTTCTAATTCTAAGCTATGTGTGTCAGCCCAGATCAGATGGAAATGACTTCCTCAGTTCAGCCTGCAGAAAGCAACACATGAGCACTTCCTAGTCTGCTCTAATGCTAAAGCTCGAACCTTCCTGGCAGCTGAACCCTACTGACTTCTTGCCGAAATGGAAGAGTAACACGTTTCCCCTTCCCTCTGCTCTGTCATGAGAGCAGCAACATGCAGGTGGTGGGAAACAGCAAATTGTGCTGTTTGAAAAGTCAATTCATGCCTGTCCCTAAAGTTGCGTGGCCTCATTTGAGTGGACTCTTGATTTAGCTGTGTCAGTAAAAGAGGCCAGTAGTCCCAGCCGCTTGTCATTGCCTTTTCGCAGGAATTATTGCCACCTCATGATCTGTGTTGCGAAGATGCTTGTGCGAGTGCCCCTTAACCCACTTCAATTAAACAGGGTTAGCAAAACCCTCCTACTTAATCCATTTAAGCTAAGTCTGGCTCGGGTTGACCCAAGTAGGTTAGGGGGTGCCCACATGAGCCACTCTGCAGGCAGATCTGAAGAGGTGGTAATTTCCACAAGAAGAAGTAGGGCGGGCTGAGCAGGGGGAGCGGATCTGATTCAGCAGCTTCTCCCATCCCCTCGGCACACACGCAGGCATGTTGGGCAGCTCAGCTGGCAGGCGGAACTTGGGAAGCCGTGGTCATGCAGCTGTTTTCCCATATACCCCTCCCTGCAGTTACAACAGTAGAAAAACTTTGTGCAGAGCAGCTGTTGCTGAGAATGCACAACAGACTAAGGCGTCTGCAGGCTTCTCATGATCTCCTGTTTGTCCTTTGTCAAGGGTTGGTGCAGGTGGAGGTCCATATTATGGTCAAATTGGTGTCAGAGTGGATTCTCGCCATTTGCATTGCGAATTCCGGAAACAACAGCACGCACACATGATCTTTTGATGTCTACAGTATGGCAGCTTTATGTCTGGTACAAAGCTTGTGTAGCTATCGGTCTCACAGGCTCACGTAACGCATACGTAAGAGCTGGGATTTGGGCTGGGAAGGGCTTCCTTACCTCCAACATGGTGCTGCTGCCAGCAGTCCTTGTCAAGGAGGCTGCAACTATTTACCTGGCCCTTTGGTTGGCTTGAGTCTGCAGAGAAATTTTAAGCTCAAATCTGTAAGTTTGGTGTTTTTGTAAGATTTGGAGTACATTAAAAATATGAAAGGAAATGTGGGTAGTGTGTAGGAGTGGGGGCAGGGAGAATATCTGTATAATTTACAGGCCGGGACTGTGACTTTACGTTGAAGGGGTAACTACTCACAAGATTTGAAATGTGTCCTAACAATCGCATTCTTGCTGAGGTGTTCTTCTCTCTCCATTAGCAACTTCTACTGATCTCTTTTTGTTTTAATGTGTATGAAGTAAGTTAAAGGTTCAAGAGATCTTGCTGCTTCAGGAATAAATGACAAAGTTCCCTTCTCTTTCAGATGAGGCAGAAGTTTAGAGGTCGCACAGATACCAGAAACACATATACAAGGGATGTGAATGAAGGAGGAAATACTTTCTGCCCTCATCGTTTTAGGGGCTGGAGAAAGATGAGGGGCCCTCAAGCAACTCCCAGCCTCATGCTGACCCTCCTTCCTTGTCTGCCTCCCTCTTACCCACTTCTGGCTGTGACGGAGAGGAACCAGGAATGGTAGATGCATGTTTTCTGAGTAATCTCTGTACTAGACCTCTATTTATAAGGATTCAGCCAATCTGTGTGTCCCTTATGCAGCACAAAGAGATGAGGCAGGGCAGTGTGTCTGCTCATACATATTTCAAATATTTTTTTTTTCTTAGGGTTGTTTTCACTTTTATTTTAAAACAGTTAGGGTAAATGTGTCTGCCCTAAAGCTAGCTCCTCTTCTATGTAGTTTACTCTTGTTGATTTAAAAACAAGAATCATGAGGAAGATTTGCCAGCATAGCATTTGCTATGCAAAATTTACATGCAGCTGCTTTGAACTAAATTCCCAGCAGAAGTGAAAGGATTTTGAGGCTTCCAGATCTTAGCAGACTGCTGTTTTTTGCAGACAGAAATCTGTATGAGATGTACTTCTCCAGAGATCTCTCGCAGCCAGCTAGGACTGTACTATCCATCTCCTATCCCACTGAGACATATTATCAGCTTTTGGGAGAGGATTCTTCTGGACCTAGGAAGTTAATTAGCTTTACTTGTGAATGTCTGCCACTGAAGTGACTGATTACTTTTCGGAGAGAAGGAAAACTCTTGTCTCTAGAGTTGAAAACAGCAAAAACGTGCAAATTTGTTTAAATCTTGATGGCTGTTTCTCTTCTGTGGGCAACACTCTGCTCCATATGTGGGGCAAATTTTCCAGCAATTCTATTTCAGTTTCTGGAGTTGTAGGTTGAATGATAAATCTAGTCTTATAGATTGAGAGTATGATCAGGAGTGTTTGAAGGCTGGTAATCTGATGCTGGTAATTTTGAGTAAGATAGTCTTACCTTGCCTGACTCCAGCCTAACCAGTTTCATAGGAGCTGAGAATCTATTGACACTGATAGTTTTTTTGGGGAGTGAAACCATGATCTAATCCAGGGCCAGAGCTGTAAACAAGTGGTTTGCTGTTCAGACACGTGAGGTAACTAACATGGTTAAGGTAATGAAGGCCACTTACAGGTGAGGTGAAGATGTCTGCTGCATTGACACAGGACCCTCCTCACTCCTCGGTGGCAATGCTAACTTCAGTGAGGGGACGCTTTTCTCCTTAGGAGCAGGATCAATTTGATGCCCCATAAATCTTGTTAGGTATTCTGTTCACTCCTCAGAGAAGTATCATGAGGGTTAATTATTTCTCTGCTCTGACTCAGACAGTGATTTTGTGCCAGAGGATTCTGGCAGTAAGTATAATCCTAGCGATACCCTCAGTGAGGAAACCATTGTTAATGATGCTGATGAGGAAGTGCTAATGGAAGCTGAACCAGAGCCTGATATAGAAATTGAGAGACCTATGGCAAACAAAGGAAAGAGTTTGGAAACCTTGCTGTTTGCCGCTTTCTGCTGCAGATCTTACAAAAAATAACTCTTTGTCTTCTTCCCCCTCCCCCCCGCCCCCCCCCATCCATATGCAGGCTGCAGAGAGGCTCTCCTGAGGCTGAGCTGTGCTGGAGGGAGGGAGGAGATCTGCTGCTGAAGTGCTGGTACGGATCATCATTCCCCTGGGGAAGACGTGCAGCAAGGAGCAGGTTTCAAATAGAGTAAGTGTCTCTTCAGCAAAACCAGGCTGCCAGATGGGGGCTGAGGTCCTAGCTCTGCCCAGGCTCCAGCAAAGCATTGCTCGAGAACCAGTTGGCACTGTGAATTGTAAATACATTGGCCATGTTACTCTATTTAGGGCTGGCGCTCTGGAGTTAGTTGTTGCATGAATAAAACGTATTTTCCTTACTGTTTTTCTCTATCAGTATTTTATAAACTCATGATGAGAGACCAGTGATACCTACCCGCTGTGTAACTGTGCTGTGAGGGGCAAAAGGGCGCCCTGTGCCAGCACACAGAGCTAAGTAAGTTTCCGTTGTCCCAAAGAGATTGTTTTCCTCTCCTAGTCTCAAGTGGTTACCAAGGCCCACTTTAAACACATACAATGACATAGGATAGATAGCTATTTTCCATACATGGCACGGGTTGTTTGGCAGGAAGCATTCGTTGCTTTAAGACAGTACTGAAAAGGACTCTGTTCTGCGCTCCAGAAGAGACGCAGGCAGGATTATCTTGGGTCACATCCTTCTTCTGTTAGTCAAATGGTGAAACCAGACATCTGAGTTGTTGCAGTCTGTGACCTTACCCTGTGCTTCCTGACAGATCTCACAGCTTTTCAGTTGTCCCTCATTTATATGCAGGATTCTTCAGTCCCCCTGGCAATCTGCATTCTTTCTTGAGGTTTTTCCTGGTATCTTGGGCCCTTGGGAGACCATAGCCTCGCCTTGGTTTCTATGTGACTGCATAGCTAACCACTCCAGTAATTCACTGCCTTCGTCTGGATCCCTATGCTGAACAGGCTTAAAGGTACTCATGGTCTTCTCCAATGTTTCGTGACGCTATTCAACCTATACAGTGTTCTTTCAACTCGCATTCTTCCTGGATGCCTCCAGAAGCCGAACAGCAGGCTCCGACATTTCCTGACACTGTGGCCCTTTACAGCAACCAGCAGTTTACACATTTGTCATTCAGCTCACAATCTGCTTCACTGTTTCTGGGATCTTATGGTTGTTCTCTCATTCCCTAACATGCTATAGCCTTCTTCAGGCTCAGCAGCTGCTCCAGGAAGGTTCCTAAGGCTGGGGAGCTTTTTGCTGAAAACATTTTTCAGATTGTCCCTCATGCTCTCTAGCAATGATTTTTTTTCTATTTCATGATGTAATATGGTTTTCCTTGGCATATTTCTAATTGCTTCTTCTTTTACTTTTATTGGTCCCTTATCTTCAGCAGCACATGTTATTCCCCATAAAATCCGGGACAGTCTGTGACTTTTTTATTTCAAACATCCTTGTAGCTGTACCCAGCAGTTGTAGCCCGTCTTGATGCGACTGCATTCAGTAACATTCCCTTGTGCTAGCTGACTGTCTTTTGTGTCCCCAGCAATTCTCAGTCTTCTCTGTTTTTGATCATCATCCTGAGGCTTGCATCTCATAGCATTGTGAGGCTTTCTCAGACAGCTCTGTCATGATGATGTCTCCTCTGGTTTTCTATATCACTCTAGGACCTTTCTTGACATACATATCTTCTTCAGCTTCCCTTATGTCCCACAGCACTACACAGGCTTTTCCTACGTCCTCAGCAACTTTCATGGTACTCTCATGTCCCCTGGCTGTTATCTGGCTCTCTTTGATCTTTCCCAGCTGAATTGCAGCACTCTCTTAATATCCCTCTCTATATCCTCTATGATCTTCACAGGCACCTCTGGCTCGCTAATGGTTATTTCCACATTCTTTTTTAAGTTTGACTCAAAACATTTTCGCTTATCTACAAACGTTCACAATCGTGCAGCCCAAAAGGACTTCCTGGTAAAGTAGCAGTTCAAGCATTCACTTTGTTTCTCTGACAACATTTTTAAAAAGAAAATAGGTAGCTGTCTTAATGGATTTTGAGAACAGGAGGCTGTTACAGCATTTGCAGAAATGTATATGAGCAGTCTAAGGCTCTTTTACTTAAGTGGCTAAAGTAAGCTAAGGATTGTACCATGGTGAGCTTGCCCCAAGTGTAAAGACCCTACAGAGAATAAGACTGGCAATGCTCTCGGAAATTTGATCCATAACAGCAGTGCCTTTGCTTTTCTTTAATAAAATGCATATCACAGTTCAATACAAATTCACCTAGTAATATTTGTAAAGTACTTGAAGTATTTGGGTGGTGAGTACTGTGGAAGTTTAGACTGTTGCTATTCTTACATTAGACATCTTTACCTGTAATGATTAATAAGAAAATCCTGAGTTGGATATGATAAAGCAATTTTTACTTGCCTGCTAGCTGGCCTTAAAACCTGTTTGAGGTTCAAAGTTTTCAAACAGAAAAAAAGAAACAGATGCTGAAGTTTATGAAGCTGTAGAACTGGCTTCATTCTAATATCACCTCTTTTGAAAATACACAAGTATGGAATAATACAAGTTACATTTCTTATTAGCTGTTCATGTTGTAGCATCATCATCATCAGATTCATCTCTGCTGGTATAATGTAAGCCAACTGCATCCATTCTATGTGGATATCATTATAGGATTAATATTTCTTCTTCACAAAAATTCCAGCTCTCAAGCATGTTTGTATACTTTGACTCTCTCCTTGTCCCCGGTGCTTTGACTGCAGTAAGAATCCTAAAATAAGTTTGTTCCTGTTGTTTGTTTTGTGCAAACATGCACAGCCATTCCTAGTTTCCACTTACAAAGATTACAAAAAAATCCAGTTGATATAAATCATACAGTAGTGCATTACAGTTTTATTTAGTTCCTTAGTCAACCATGCTTTAAGTTATACCCAGCAGTAGATGCCATGTTTAACTATGCAAGGGCTACATGCTTATGTGCTTACTTTATTTCCTTTACTGCTGAAGTTCTAAAGCAGTCAACAGCACTTTAAATGTGGATTTATTGCTGCTTACATACCACTGAACTGCAGGGGAGGGAGGATAAAAATGTTACTGAGTACAGTGGGGTCAATTTCTTTTTGCATGAAAGGACTATTTAGCAGAAGAGGAAGAAGCTGAACCTGGTGCCAGCTATTTTTGCACTGGCCAAGTCCTGTCATCAAAACCGCACGGGGGCTGTCCTAACTTCAGTCTGCAGAGGAGTGAGGTTAGCTGAAGTTCCCAGGTGTGTTCTTCCACAGTCCCCTGGTCCTTCCCTTTCTCTCTTCACTTCCCTCCCCACAGCCTCTTCTGGGACAAATGCAGAAGCCATCTCAGCCATGTGGACGTGATCGGGTGAAGTCTGTGATGGTTGTGACCACTCTGGAGAACCTAATTCAGCATGTGATCCAAGTTCAGTCACGGCCTAACTGGGTATAAATTGTTTTTTATTAACATTAAACCCAAGCTGGACCTGGCAGCTTTTAAAACCTGGAAGCTTTGAGGGGAAAGGAAAAACAAAAAATATTGAATCTAGTCTATATTACTCTTGCTTTCCAGATATAGGCTGTCATCATGGAGGCTGAAAAATAACCGTAGAATAATTTAGGTTTGAATGGACCTCCAGAGGTAATTTGGTCCAACCTCCATGCCAAGCAGAGCTAAGCAGATGAGGCTGCTTTCTGATAATACTTCTCTGCTGTATGGCCAATGGCAAAAATAAAGCCTTTAAGTTTAGATTAGAAAAGCATTTCTTGAACTTCTTGTGAGCATAGCCTTCTTCAGAATCATTTGTCTTCCCAAGATTTTCCTGAGTGCAGCACTCTGCCCAGACTAGGGAACAGCTAACTTCCGCTAACTGATAGCAACAGCTCAAATTCCTCCAAGGTGAGGGAGTAAGAATTGATTATAATTTACTCGCTTGAAGTGTGAAGATCCATTTCTTTGCCTTGGAAGAACTGCACTGCAGTGAGCAGTTAGATGAGCTTGCATAAGTACTTGCAGCTAGTTCTTATGCCCATATCCTGCAGGAAATGAGCAGCATCTGCCAAGGAGATTAACTGCTGTTCTCCATCTTGGTTTTACACTGTATTCTTTTTCTTTCTGTAATTTACCTGTGTTTATGGTTCCTACTTCTTAATTAAAAAGGAAAATATTTTTTCTTTCTCTTCAGTGTTTCAGATTCTTTGTGATTCTGTTTGAATGCTTTTTCATTGGAAAAGGTACTCTGAGCTATCTTTGGCCTAGCACTGGATAAATACCAGAATCAGAGAACTGCTGGTTAGCAAGGAAATTGAACACAGGCATTGCAAAATTAAGTTTTCTGTTGCTCTTGCTTTGTAGTTTGCCTCAAGGTTGATGTGGCAGCATTGCCTCTGGCAATGCTCATTCTCTCTTTAGCGTCCTAGAATCCTGTAGAATTGATATTTCTCCCAATAAGTGAGAAATCTATTTTTGTGAGCATCTTGTGGCAACTGGCTCAAGTGTCATAAGCCACTGAACAGCTATTGAACAAATGTAGGCTAGATTCAGAATAGTAAATTAGAGGGAGAAGTCTCCTCATTCAATTAGCAGCAACAGATCAATCTGGACCAATTTTTTGTTCTTCAGATTCTACTTTGTGTGACAATTGTCCACTTCAAATAGCGTTCAAATGAAAAAGAAAGGAAATAGTGACAGTACTTTCAGTCCCCCTGCAGAAGGTATTGGTTCACCCCTCATGCATAATGCACAGCCTCTTCGAAATACACATCCCATCAGTTCTCAGCATCCACAATGTTATGAAGCAGTTCAGAAAAGAAAGGGAAGAATAACTTCTCCAAATGCAGCTAGAGAGCCCTGGATGTAATTACTTGAGCTGGAGTCCAGCCAGGAGAATGCTGAGCTAAGGAACAGTAAAGTCCGGACTCTGCACAAGGGATCCAGACAAATCTGAAAGAAACTGGAATAACAGAAGTGGGATTTGAGCATCTGGGAAGACGTTTGAGAGAGTGCATGAATACGAACTAAGGCCCCTAGGGAGTCTGATAGGAAACAAAAGGAGCAAAATCAAGAATGGAGGGGTGTAATGGTAATATATGTGGCACTGACTGTCTTATACTCCATCAGTGTTACCTGGTAAAACTGTGTCTTGTACATGATCAAAGAAAACTGACTTCTCTGAGTTCATCTGGCCCTCTACTCCAGCTGAACTACATGAACAAGGGTGAAAATAAGACAAGTTATGTCTGTTGTGTTCTTCAACAGTGGTGAATAAGAACTGAGTCAGACCTGATAAATACGGTAATTTTTTAATGTAGCACCAGGTTAATTAGCCACCATTAAAGGAAAGCTTGTGCAGTAAGAAAGATTTCTCTCTCCCTAGCTAAGGAGACCTGGTCTGAGCCTGGATGGATTTCACCTTTAATCCCAAATTCCTTAAAGGGTAGTTATTCTAACACTTGGACACCGCTTCTTGCCAGTACCAGTATCAAACAAGCATTTCAATTTTACTTCACTCATACTCTTTTACAGTCTTCACAACTCCAGAATCAGCAAACTGATATACCCAATGGAAGGATGATAAGGGTTCTGCCATTGACTACATTTCATTTTAAGGTCCTATTCTATTTTCCCTTGTATTTGCTGGGAGCTAAAATTGTACTCAGGCAGGTACCATTGATCAGACCATGCACAAAGCTTTCTGGTGCTTCTGAACTGTTCTCATTCAGGCACTCTAAATGGTTTATAAGGTTTGTCAGAGAGGTGGTTTAAAAAGGAATACAAATGAAAAAGCAGAGAGCGGATGACAGCAGGGAAGGTGGTCCAGAAGGAAATATTAAAAAAAGGAAAAAATACGCCAAAAAAAAAAGGAGTGGCTGGAGGGAAGGTGGGACATGAGGAAATCCAAGTGGGGTAGTGTCGGGATTTGAAACTCTGCATTCTTCCCACTGGCAGGTTTTTTCTTACTTTCCCACAGCTCTTTCTTTTTTCATACTCCTTTTCCCCTAGCTCATTTGTTTTATGCTAAAAGAGGCTTATTTGCCTTTCCTGCTTTATTTGTAGCACAACTGGATTATAGGCGTCCTGATAAATTAGTTCCTCTGAAGACTGTGATCTGAAAATGAATCTTGGGATGGATTTTGAGCTAATTTAAACTGATATGCACCCAATGAAGTGAAGTTTAGCCATGCAGAATTCCACTACTTGAGCAAATGCATAAACAATGAACATTATTCCTCTTCAGTGTGTCAGAAAAAGAAATCGTCTGCTCTTTCCAAAGAGACTATTTTGAATTTGAAACACATACCTATAAATGTCAGAATTTGCAGTTTTGAAAATCTAAGCATGGAAATGTATTACATTAACACATACCAGACTTCAAGAGATTGTCTCGTACTGAACACATTATTTTTGAGAAGTGGCAAACCTTTCATTAGTTTTATCTGCCTGAATGTATTGGTTTAATTGTGTTTTATTTGTTTCTATAATATCATGTGTATTACTGTGCTTTAGCAGACAAATGTACGCCTGGGTCAGAATGCAAGCTCAGACAACAGTCTGCAATTGTCAGCACCCTGCAGGATTTGGCATT